CAAGAGTGAGGGATGAGGAGGGAGCAAACGCGCGCGGGGATTTAGCCGGGGATGCGACGGCGGGGAGAAGGAAAGGAGACCGCGCAGACACAAACGCGGCGAGAGGAGAGATACGGCGCCGAGTCGTTTTAAAATACATCTGGGAGACGGTGCTTTCACAGGAGCAAGAGGTGGAGGAGAGTGAAGAGGAGAAGCAGGAGTAGTAGTAGTAGTAGTAGGAGGAGGAAGAGGAGGAGGAGAACGAGGAGCTTTTGCGCGCGCGATGGAATGGCTCTCGGTATATGACTGCGAGATGAACGACGGGACGAGATAGACGGGCGTCGGGTAGGCAGGCAGGCAGTAGAGAACGAACGGGAGAGACCGGACGTAAAGGGAGATGCATTGTTTACAGTAATGAAGGCGTAAATAAGTGATGAGCCGAGCGACGCGTCGATCTCGCTCGGGCCCCGTTGCCTCCGTCCCGCTAACGCCGCTGCCCGCCCCCGGCCTGCCGTCCCTCTCACGGCGAATTCGCGTCGCCCCGCGTCACCCCCAGGACATGTCTGCTCTGAGGCGGACGACGATGGTATTTCACCCGTCCCGTGCGCTTTCAGTTTAATAACCTTCTTTCTGATACCATCCGGCGAATAGTGTGCCAACGGTATGCCGCGTGTGTGCTCTGCCAGGATCACGATTGGAATTAGTTATCGTCGCTGGCGAGCAACTTCGCGCGAATAATGTGAAATAAATACGGAGGAGACGTGCACCCCTTTGCAGAAATACCTCTTCGTCGCATTCGGGGACACGTCCAATTAGAGAACCTGGCAGAAGTGATTATCCTATGAGAATCACTCGAAAACAAAGTATCTTATTGGTTATCGGCTAAGTTCTGAAGTGCACTGAAGAAAATGTGTTCAAAATGTTCTCCAAATGAATGTTGCTAATCGTATATATTCCCTCCTTCCTTCTCCGATAGACTTTTCATGATTTTTACGACGTGAGACACGATGATGAAAACTTGAGAATTTTTTTAATTACATTTATCAGACAAATATAGTAAATGTTGAATTAATTATTAAATTTACATAATACGATAATATAAATTTTATGTTATTAGGTGGTAAACTTAGTTACTGCGGTTTTTTTGTTTAAAAAACTCATTTATTTCGACATCAAAAGCAAAAAATACGAATTAATCGAAGTATTCTCCCTCGCTAGCTATACATTTTTCCCATCTTTCGGGCAACGCGTAAATTCCGCGACGATAGAACGATTGGTCTTTTGATGCAATCCATTCATCGATCCATTTTCGCACATCCTCGTAATTTCTGAAGTGTGTATCCACCAAGCCGTGCTGCATCGACCGGGACAAGTAATAGTCCGAAGGAGCTAAGTCTGGTGAATACGCTGGGTGCGGGAGAACTTCCCACTCGAGCTGCATCAGTGTTTCTTTGACGGCTTTGGCAACGTGTGGTCGAGCGTTGTCGTGCAAAAGCATGACTTTACGTCGATTGCTGGCTACTGCTGGCCTTTTTTCCAACAATGCTTCATTCAGACGGTTTAATTGTGATTGATATCGATCCCCCGTGATACTTTCGTTCGGTCTGAGTAGCTCATAATAAACGACGCCGTGCATATCCCACCAAATGCAAAGCATTGCTTTGTGGCCATGAATATTTCTCTTTGGTGTGGATGTCGATGGTTGGCCAGGGTCTACCCATGATTTTCTTCGTTTAGGATTATCGAAGTATATCCATTTTTCATCGCCAGTCACTATGCGCCACAAAAAACTCTTCTTTTTCTGCCTGGCGAGCAGAGAAATAGAGATGTTTAAGCGATTCGCAATGGCATTTGCGGTTAATTCGTGTGGTACCCATTTTCCCTCCTTTTGAATTTTTCCCATTGCATGTAGACGTTTGGAAACAGCCATCGGAGTAACATTTAATGCTGCAGACAATTCTTGGAGCGTTTGAGTAGAGTTTTCGTCCAATAATGCCTGCAAATCGGTGTCTTCAAACTTTTTCGGTTGGCCTGAGCGTTCTTTATCATTGACATCAAAATCACCACTCTTAAATCGCTGAAACCATACTTGGCATGTTCTTTCCGATGGAGCATAATTGCCATAAGCTTCGAAAAGCAATTTATGAGCTGCAGCTGCAGTTTTTTTCAAGTCAAAGTAATGAAGCAGCACATGTCGAAAAAACAACTTATCACGTTCCATATTTAATCAAAAGAAAAAATAGCACTGCTCGCTTAAATGAATCTCTTCGCACTGAATTTTATTGACAAATGTCTAACCTCTAAAATGCAGCCAGTTTCAGATGTCAAAATAAATTACACCTACAACTAACGTCATCTAACTGTGAGCCGCAGGAACTAAGTTTACCACCTAATATATTGATGCAACAACGAGTTTACTAAAAGTTACACTCAGATTTTCATATTACATTTTACACGACACATTATTTTGAGCAAATTTTGATCATTTTTCTCGTATTTTTTTCTTTCGTCATTCCATGTGAAGAATATAAGCGTCATATGAACCAGTCATAAGGAGCATAACCCTTACAAATCGACTAGTAAAGTACTGTCAGATTTACGTACACCTGTTCATTCGGCACGTTTTATCTCCTTGAGCAATAAGATCTTAAACAACGAACGCGATATAACGTAATGGTGCAAATCCGAGCGTTTCTAAAAGAGTGTCCAATACTTTTCGTGACACGAGATGATCTAAACGCGTCTGACGTGTCGTCAATAATTTCGAGCCATTCGCCTGCCCGCGCCTCAAGTAGTTACAGTCCGCGTACGGTCGGACGGGCGGGAATAGCGCAGAGATGTGAATAAACGTGATACGTTGACTGCACAAGAACCCCAGATACGTTACTCGAAAATGTGTAGATATCGATCCAGACGTCAGCTGATCGATTTGGCAACATATGATTATGTTTTCAACAGAATTGCTTCTTTCGGTGTCGAGATATACAAGTGCATGCGCGACACCTGCGTGACGCGAATGGAAATTTGCGCTCAACGTACGGAGTGAACAGTTTGTGCGAATTAATCTGACAATGAACGAACCAAAGCGCGCTTAGTTCGCTCTATTCTCCGTGCGGAATGTTCTTATTTGTGATATACATTCCGGAATATCGAACAGAGTAGTAATTGGCTCAATATTTCCTCATACATGCAGATCATGCCTTCCGTTATAACTGCAGAAAAGGAAAACAGTTGGGTCGAGAAAACCGCAGCGGCAACCCGTCTTCAAAGAAATATTGTATCTATTGAACAAATTACGCGCGTTAGTACGACAAGTTGCGCGTTGATATAAGTACTGACCAAATCGCGACCGTTGAACCAATTGATAACTTGTAACTCGTCATAGCAACTACATAAACGTTTTGCTTGAATGATTTTTTTCGTTCAAATAAAATCTCATTAACTCAACCATTTTGTTACAATACAATTACAATGCAAATACAATTTCGGGACTTGGTTGGATGGCCTGCAAGTGTGTAAGTGCTTACATAGTGGACGAATGATTTTAGTGTATTGAGTTAAAAATAGGGGGTTAGATAAGGAAAGTAGAAAAGAGAGTGTGATCAGTGCGTTCAGATAATGTATAAGTGAAGGTGTTAGGTAGGAAAGTAGGATTCAGAGCGGAAAAAATGCATAGATAATAGATGGCGTCAAGAAATAGCTAGTTAGGATAATGTAGGTAAGGCAGGCTAAAATTATTATGGTAATGCAGAGGAAATTATCGATAGAGAAAATGTACAATAGATAGTGACAGAAGACAGAAATACACAAGGCATGGAGGAAGAAGAAGATACAAGAAATGAAGAGAAATGATTTGGTCATCGAGTGGGGTAAGCAAGCAAAATAAAGATATACGGAAGAAAGATGACACAAGAACTGGTGGGACAGATATTGTGCGACAGTAAGAAAGGTGAAGTGCAAAGAATAAGGTTATAGGATATGAAAAACTCCTCTTAGCAATGAAAGTTAAAAGAGACATATAAGTAGTGAAGAAAAAGGAGAGAAATTACTTCACGGAGTCAGCAGGAAATATATAATGGAATAATAAAACTAACAAGGTATGGAAAGAAATTCGAAGAAAAGAGGATGACGAAGAGAAAATAAGGAGAACGGTGAAGAGATCTGGTAGAAAGAGGAAAGACAAAGGGATAGGTGTGTAGCTGTAGGGAAGAACAAAATTTGGAGAACTTGTGTGTAAGCACGATATGGTACATGTTGAAAGAGAAATAAGGAAGTAGAGAAATAAGGAATTTGATACGATAGATAGAGAAAAAGTACAGTGTGAAATTTAAGAAGATTGTGGGAGGAGATTACAAGAACATTTAGACAACGAGGATGATATTGTAAAGTCAATTAGAAGAGGAAATGTAATTATAGAGATGTTAGCAACCAGATAGATAAAAATAAGGAATGTGTGTGCTAAGGAATACAGTTATAAACCAAGTCACGTTCTTGGCTATGTAAGCCGAAGAAAGATATACTGGTCTAACTCCAAAAATAATAGCAGATCGCGCGTTTTTGCGAGCAGCACGGATCAACCTTACGCGATCGATCGATCGCGTCTTGAAAATCTGCTCGATTAAAAGCGCTCACTCGCTCGGCGCGCATACTCGGCACGTGATTTTTAATCTATCTACCTACGACGTATCGGACCTGTCGTACGTTCCGCGCCGCTTACAACGGGATCGAGGCGGCGGTAACTTCCGTCGTCATCGCGGAATAAGCGGAGCGACGTGCACGAACCGCACGTGCGGCGCGAATGAAATTAACATTGAATAAGAGCCGCGACGTGCTTTATGCCTCATTGAATCGGCTGTAAACTCGTCCCGTAACGCGCGTACGTCCCTTATTGTCCCACCGCCCGTGCATCTGTATCATTTACGTATCATTTGCGCGGAAGCGCAACGCGTCCGCGCCATTATCTGCGTGAAAACGCTTGAGAAATATAATAAAAAAAGAAAAAAATAAAAAAGTATACATACGTCCGTCTCTCTCACATTTTGGTTTGAAAACATGGTTTGCGAACATTGGAAAGTGGGTAAAATGTGACCGCTTGTCGTTGCCTGCAAAACATTGAAAAATTAGTTAATCCACTGTTGTAACAAAACGAGAGTAAACGCGCGCGCGCGGCCACGTCAAGGACGAAGCTCGCGAGCATCGTAGTGATTGTGAATTGCGACTAATACTATCTTAACGGCCGTAATAAAAATAAGTATCTCTGTCACTGGACTACACACGCGCGTGCGCATTTACAAATCGTCCGGTTTGGCTTTTTTCCTCTTTCTTTCTTTTTTTCTAGCGTCCTTACGGATCGACAAAGCAACATTTGTCCCACTTTACCCGCAGGCCGCCTTGACTCAATTCCGACGTGATAATCGTGGAAATGGGCGTGAATCATTGTATCATTCTGAAAGACTACGCGCAGCCAGTGACAATCGATAGTGATTCGAGGTGATAACCGAGGCCAGAAGTCTCCGATTGATCCTTCCGGCGAGGGAAAAGTTTTTTCCCGGATTTCTCACAAAATGACGTAAAGCCTGCGTCCGCGGCAATTATTCGCGCGAAAAGAACGCGCTGTCAGCAGCGAGGTATCGATATATATTACGATACCGTCGGCGTGTTTTCAGCATAGCTTCGCGCTCGCGTCGCACGAAGTATCGTTCGCACGAGGACGGCCACCAGAGAGATCAGCATTGAATCGCGCTTACGTCACGCTCCATACGGCAAGACAGTGTTCGGTATCATCGGGAGCATCTCGTCGCCGTTCGCCACGCCTAATTATCATCTTCGTACGTTGCGTACGTTGAAGCGCGCGCGCAGATGCTTGCAACGCACGCGTAAGAACGCTGGACGTTTATTATAATCGAGAAAATCGTATCGATACTTTTATCGTTTATGTCTCCGCGTAAAATATTCGGATCTATCCTAACGAATATTCGATCGTTCAAAACCAACTTTCGTAAAGGGAAAATTTCAAAACTGCGCACAGAAAAAAAGAGTTTACTTGGACTAATCAGAGCTTTGTTCTTTGTAGCTGAACCAGTACACACTTTCGGAATTTAACAAAAAACAAGTATACATCTGTAAATTAGTATAAAAAAAGAGAGAAAGAAAACTAGAGCAAGCTAGTGCACCCGATTCAGTTACAAAGACGATAAGTGTCTGATAAACAAACCAGGAACCCAGTTGAAGCCACCAGAATTCTCTTCAAGCCAATAAGATTCTTTTCAATAAGCCAATAAGGTCAACCAGAACTTGCAACTTTCAAGTTAACAGATCTGGTTAACTGGTCAGTTGCAAGTTCTAATTAACCAGACATCCTATTAATCTGAAAGTTGCAAGTTTTGGTTGACCGGAAATTTTATGAACTTGGACAGAATTTTGGTAACTTCAATCAAAATTTCTAGCTCGTTCATATCTCGTCAGACATTTGCTTCAACTAAACTTTTTCCATATGCAAATCTGTTTGTAGATTTGAATTTTATTACGCAATTATCTTATAACTGAGGCTGTGCTATATCTCTAAAAAAAAATGTGCCCAGAAATATTGATTTCCAACAAAGTTATGATAATCCAAGATTGTCTGGGTCTGATATATGCAGATCATACAGTCCATCCAAAAAATATGATTATGCATGGAAGATTAAATATGATCAAGTATGGTATCGCAAATAGGATATCGGGGTATAAATAGATATTATTGATCTTAAATTGCCAATGCTAATAGTAATTAGTTCATTATTATCAATGGGGGTCATTCTAACTCCTTCAATCTTTTAATCTGCTGTAACATTTTTTATCATTTTCTTATAGAAGTATAGAAATTAAAGTTATGAGGTAAATTACACAATTATTATTAATAAATAATTGTTGGCAAACGTGTTTGCAGTTGCGTAATTTTTCTAGAAACTTAAAGACTAACGGAGATGCCAATAATTGTGTGGTTTTACCCCTTACCGATCACAAACTTTTTATTAATTTGTTATTCAAAGTGTAACTCAAAACGACTAACATTGGTAATCTAGAGTTGAGCAATCAAATTGATAAAAAGGCTTTCTGAATGGCGGTACTCAATTGACAGCGAATTGTCCCAGAAAGAGACGAGCGGACAACGGGAGATCGGGCGCGGTATGTTACGCGCGTGCGGGCGTTCGCCATGTGATCGAGGAATTAGTGGCTACCGCGTTAAAAATAGCACGGCGGCGAATGATTCCGCAGCGGGAGGAACAGGGGGAGAGAATGAGAGAGAGAGAGAGAGAGAGAGAGAGAGAGAAAGAGGGAGGGGTGAGAGAGGTAGGAAAAGAAAGAGGGAGAAAGAGAGTAGAGTAACGTTGAGCTAAATTCTTGATTTACAAGTGGAACGGAAGTGGCTATCGCACAAAGCTACGGTGCGCGCCTAATGCACTCGTAAACGAATTTTATCGTCGCTACGGTTGCGCAAACAAGCAGCCGGGGCCTGTCGCTGCGGAAAATAGAGCGGTCTCTATGGGTTTCCCCTTCGGTCGCAGCTATCGTCGATAGTTAAACACCGTATCATTTCGCGTGTTACTCCGAAGCTCGATATCACGATAAACCTGGTAGAACGAGAAAGAGAACGAGAGAGAACGAGAGAGAGAGAGAGAGAGAGAGAGAGAGAGAGAGAGAGAGAGAG